ATCATGATGAGCACTGAGTAATGTATAGAATTGTGAGAGAGAGAGCACGCATGTGAATGTGAGTGGGGAGGAGGAGGGGCAGAGTGAGAGAGAGAGAGAGAGAGAGTGAGAGAGAGAATCCCAAGCAGGGTCCATGCTCAGTGTGGAGCCAGATTCAGGCCTCCATCCCACAACCCTGGGATCATGACCTAAGCTGAAATCAAGAGTCAGATGCTCAACCAACTGAGCCACCTAGGTGGCCCATGGAATTGTTGAATCAGTATATTGTACACCTGAACTAATATAACACTATATATATATAACTAATATATAACACTATATTTAACACTATTTGCTAATTATACTGGAATTAAAAAATAATAATAATAAATAAGTCATTCACAACAATTCCATTTACATTTGTGTATAATTCAACATTAAGTTGAGTGGAAGAAATTCCAACAAAAGCAACCGAAAAGGAAGAGCCAAACAGAAGGGAAGAGAACAGTGAGAGAACAATGTCAAAGGAAGAAGGAAAAAGGAGATTCACATGCTGCACAGGCACCTTGAAGGATGTTCACCAATGAAAGGACACAGAGTTTGGAAATTAAGAGATCGCTGATCATCTTAAGAGCAGTTTCAGTGGAGCAGAGTGGAATTTGGCAAGCCAAATACAGTTGGTTGAGAATTTAGTAAGTAGTAATTAACCAGAATAGTGAGTATCAAACAATATTTTCAAGACACAGAGAGAAGTAAGACAGTAAGCAGCTTGAAGCATGGCCAGTAGGACATGAAGCACCAAGAAATGAGTTTGTAAAAAGGGGTGAACATGGTTGTAGGTTCGGGATGGGGAAGAACTGTAAAGCAATTGAGGATTAGATGAAGAGAGAATATAAAAAATGGAGAAAAAGACTGTCCCAGGGATGAAGCACAGACTAGGACATACTAGGAAAGTGTGTGGAAGACTCGATAAAAAAGAAATTTCACATCAGGGGAGAACAATTGTCAGCATGGTAACAGGAAAGACATCTGAGCTTTTCCTGGGCCTGGTAACACCGGGTAATTTTAGCAGCTCGCATTCAATGACCATTTGATACGAGACATGACATGCTTCAGATGGCAGCTGGGGGAAGGAGGCCTTTTGGGAACTGGACTCATCTTCAAAACATCATTCTGCTGAAAAATTAATTAAGCAAAGAGTCAATTCACCAACTTTATCAGTTTATTTGTAATTTCTTTCTCTTAACTGTAAGTTTACAGCAATTAGTACTAGATGAGATTTTACAGATATTTGAAGATGTGGGAAAAGTTTTGGTTGACTGATTTTCATTTTGTTCTTTATACCACCATTTTAAGGAATATTTAATCGGTCAAAAGCAAAGCACCATGGAGTGCTTTAATCTATTTATGAATATATGTGATATTCGGAAAAGTATATTTAAATACCATAATCAAATCTCAGTGTTTCCTATGGAGTTTTAGGTTATGTACCTAAAACTAATATACCTTATACCCTTTGCTTTGCCTACTGTTTGCCCTATTTGAGACCCTTTTGCCAAAATACTAAGTAGAAGAACCCACTCACATTGTTATTATAGCAATTAGGAGCCAAAATTTTGTATGTAATGTAGTTGCTCTTATTACTTCACAATCACTTTCCCTCCTAAAACAAGGACAGTATCCCCACGATGCAAAGGATCAATGAACCTGTCAGCTATCGAATAAAACTCATCACAAATAATTGTCCTTTGTATTTGTGCATCCAATGCCATCACTAAAATTTCTGCTGTGGTCTTCAAAACCTAGAATTTTTTAAAAATATGTACACGTCCATCATTTAGTGCATAGCTGTGTTACTTGGGCTCTTTATGACTGCTGGAAGAGGCAAGTTCAGGATTTGCTGCAAGGGTACTGGGGACCTAGGGTAGCATCAGCTGCAACGTCACGAGGTGGGAGTGGTGGGGGGGACCTGTAATTCCAAGACCAAGATGTGTAATCAGCTCCACAGAAAGATCATTGGAGCCCAGGAGAGACCTGAGCAGCACTTATAACTAACATATTATCTGATCTCTCTATCACAATTTTGTATTTTGTATTTAGATTTAGATTTAATGTAACTCAAATCTGAAGTCCTAATCACACGGTCCTTTAAAATAATCTTATCTCAGCAGCCTCACTTTCTTTCTCATCTTTGAACGGTTTCAACCTTTCCTTTTCCTGCAACTGTCAACAAGTCTATGCTTTTGGATGTTTTACAGGGGAGCATAAACATTCATTTCCTAAATGAGCACCAAGACAAATTTTATTTAGGCTGAAAAACTACTTCTCGCTAATGAGAGAAAAACAAATTGGATTATATACGCAAATTTATAGAGTCCTTTGGGGATGGAAGAGGGTACCTCTTGACCCATCCATTTCGATCATGGGCCTCATAAGGAGTCTGGTTCATGGCCCAGAACCAGAATGCTGGACCACCACACCCATAATGTCAGCCACAAAGTATGTAAATAGCACAGTTCTCCATAGTGGTGAAAAACTGATATAAGGTCTCCCAAGTTTAAGTTCTGGTCGCTAAGACTTAATACTAATATCTGACATGTTATTTAATCTCTTTCTGCCTTTGTTTTATCTTTCATGAAATCAGGTGAGAATTGGATGAGTGTGTGTGTGCATTACTTATATATATGTATATACACATACATGCATATACACACATACACACATTTATACACACAGTTGGCACATAATATACACTCATGTTAGTGGTTTTGTACACACTAGAAAAGTCTCTAGATCACAGCTTAAGATCACACAGCTTAAGTTCTTCCCTTCTTGCTTTTCAGAAGGCAAATCTCAACAGTTGAACTCAAATTAAATGCTATTATTTCTGTGATACATAATTTATTCAATGATTCAAGGAATATTTATTGAGTCATGCTCAATAAATGTCATGCTTTGTACTGAATGGTAATAAAATGTAGTGAAAAATAAAATGGTGCAGTCTCCACCCTAGAGGAGTTTACAGTCTAGAAAGGAGGATTTCAAACTATAAATAAAGCACAATTAGAATTCATGTGATGGATAAAAGATTGGACACAGTTGGGACAGACTCAAAGGAAACACAGATTTGCACTAGCAGATCTGCTGACCAACTATCCTCATATCCTGGGACACCCCTCAGTCCCAGGTTTGCCTAGGACTGAGAGGTGTCCCAGGATAGGAGACTTTCAATGCTAAAACTGGGACATTCCCAAGCTAACCAGGACAGCTGGCTCTCCTAACAGGGAAGTCCCACAAAGGCAGGTATCTGCTTTATACTCTGGAGCATCTCCAGTGTGAGCCCCTAGGAATGGAGTACAATGGTTAAATAGGGGGGTACTCTGGGGTCAAACAACACGTGCTCAAAGCCAGATTCCACTCACAAGCTGTGTAACCTCAGACACTTTACTCTTTCTCCCTGAGTCTCAATTTCCCCAAAATAGTGACATAGTTGATAAGTCGATGATAAGGATTAAATTAAAAATTAATATAGAGAATTATAAGGATTAAATTTTTAAAAATGGATGCAAAGCTTTCTACACACTGCCTGGCACACTGTCCCATTAATTTTGCTACTAATGGCCACTAATTTTGCTACTTTGTAGACCCTCAACAAATATTTGTTGAATGAGCATATAATTGCATATACTTTGACAATTCTATCCTGTTTCTGACAGTTACAAATGTGTTTTTCCTTTGGAAGTTGGGTATGGAGTAATGAATATGACACCCCCTCACACACAGCCCACCACATCCATCTCAGACCACTCCTCATCACAGCTCTCCTTACACCTTTCTACATTCTTCTGGATCTGGTCATATTCCTTTGGAGTCTCTACATCGCACCAAGGCATGTCTTAAGCAGAACACTTCATTGTCCTGGTAATAGACAGAGTTACATTCTCTCCATCCCTCCCTAACCCTCAGCCCACCTCCTCAGGATGTCTGGTCTACCTTGTAGTCATTACTACTGTTAACATGGGAAATATTTGGTTGACTCAGCCAGGATCCAAGGAGTGAGCAGAAAGTTCCCTTCAGGAAACTCTCTCTCCCTCTCAGGAGAGGACCACTTGTACTCTTTCAAGGGTGTGTGGAAATGTACAGCCAGGAGCCAGGTCACATCTAATCTCTTAGGAGAGAGAGTTTGAGTTTCATCGGGAAGCAGGTTGACCTTGAACCAAACCAAAAATATCAATATGTTTTTTTGCTAGGTTCACTGTCTAAATGAAGCAGCCAATGTGTATTATATAAAGATTAATTCTACCAGGAAGCATTTTAGCTTCCAAAATAAAAGATTTCTAGACTCCTAGGAAAATGTAGGAAGTATAGAAGGAAAGACTTAGAAAAGTACAGAAAATACATTCATAATGCCCATGATTTTTCATAGTTCTTCTAGGAGCGTGTTAAAACTATCCCAAAATTCTGCAACCACACCAAAACGCTGATACCACCCTTTGGAATCTCATCCTCCTACACAAACGTATACACACACCCTATGAAAGTCACTGGTGTTGCAATCCATGCAATATGTGTCTCATTTATCAAGAGTGATTCCAATCGGAAAGCAAAACAGGGATTCAATGACTGATAGAATGCTGGACTAGGAGACTAGAGATGTTAGTGTCAACCCAATCCATTTGTGACTATGGCAAATCCTTTACTTCTTTGTTCTTCTGTTGCTCTAGCTCTAAAAGGATCATGGCCATCTCTGTCCATTTCTCCTGCATAGGGAATTCATTAAGAGGAATAAGATCAAATGCATGGAGGTATTCTTCAGAATAGAACTTATGCATACCTTATATTATTAATAATAAAAATTGGATTCAATAAGCCTGCTTTAAACAAAAGGCCAGGCAAGGGCAGTTCCTCTGTAATAATGCCAGTCTTTTGTATCATGTAGACTTTGGAAATGCGAAGATATTTTGAAGCAATAGGAGGTGACTGTATAATCATTCTCTGTTAAATATTTTCAAGAGCCTTGCTCAAGTTAGTTTTAACTTTATTTAAATAATCATTCAGAGCTTTAACACAGATATTAATTTTAAAACTCCGTTTCTATAGTAGATATTATATAAGCTTATTCTTCCTTTATAAAGCATTCAGTGCACATTGAGAGAAACAAGTAGTTTCTGATTATAAAGCATATTGAAAAATACAACTATCATCAGATAGTGTATGTTGGATAAATAACACTCAATCATGTGAGTCAGCCAACTACTGTGGATACAAACACATTTTTTGAGTCATGCTGGCTATTAATCAGTGGTAACACCAATGAACAGAATGAAAAATTTCACCCCAAACTGACTGTTGAAGTGTTGCACATAATATTGCCCATTCATTCTCCATGTAATTAGTCACACTGCCAGCTTTGATAAGGGGGTTGGGTTTCCTATATCTTTTCTGGTTTCTTGTGTACTGAGCAGAAATTGCATTTGCTTTCACTTCTGCTTGTGATTGGAAACTTTGCTGACATGAATGTCACACCTGGAATAACAGGTGGAGCTGTGCTCTCAGTCTTTGATGAGCATATCAGTCCAGTAACAAGCAAACACTGTCATCAATAAGAAGTACACACTTCTGACTCACTGTGCCTGATAGCATTCTTTAGAAGAATGTCAGCAGTAAGGGGTCAATATCTTAATCTTACAGAAGAAAAACCCAACTTACCACCTGGCTGTGCTACTTAGATCTGCTACCTATTCATGTCTAGGTTCCTACTAGTTTGCTCTCTTGAGTGTTAGAGATCAGACAGAATTAGCAATTGATCAGTAATTATTGACAGGGTGTCCTTGAGCTGAGCACTGATTTTGTCTATGTGGATTTTGATTTGACTCCCCTGTGACATAAGATACTTTTCATACTCTCAAAGAGATTATGATCTAGTGGAGAAGTCAAAACAAATATTTGGAAAATTAAAAGACCATGCAAATTGTAATAATATGGCTGAAGTGTAAGAATTGTCTAAAGACAGTAACTGAATAAATGCCAAATGAATGATATTAAGGTCAGTGGTTTAGAAACAGTGCTCCAGGTAATCCCAAGTATTCAGGTGGGGGGAGCTCCCAAGGCAGCAGCAGAAGAGAAGAGAAGCTCCTAATGAGTAGGACTTCAGCCAAGCCCCCTTCCACCCCATCCACAACCTAGATTCTACCTCCGCCAGAGTAACTCTTGTGTTTGTTTTTTGTTTTCTGGGTTTTTTTTTTTAACTTTTTATAGTGGAAATTCACATAGAATTTCATATCAAGAAAGGGATTCAGATTTGTTTTTTTAAAAAGCCATTGATGTATTTTTAAATGCTATGAATTTCAGAATTGCATAGTATAATCACTAGTGTATTTTCAGTAGGTTTTCTTGGTGGAAGAGAACATAAGACTTGCCAGATGAAGAAGATTTGGATACTCAGATGGCTTCCACTTTAGTGGTTTATATAAAAACATTAAGATACTTAAACAGGTGGGAGTCCAAAGAGCTGGACTAAAGTTAGAGGACAATGCCACTTGCCCATAGGCTGTAGTGCAAGACAGTGAGAAGGGTGATTTCAGAGGTATCATCTTGGAGAGGAGCCATATCACAATCAACACAGTCATCATTTCATTAGAATAATCCACGTACACACATACAGGGCAGATATAAGAAAGCTCAGAGAAGAGAAGAAGGTTTCCCAGTAAAGAGGCAGAGACCTGAGGTGCTCTATAGGGAGTTAGTGTGGGTGGGACTCCTGGCCCATCTAAGGCAAACATAAGAGCTAGATCGGTTTCAGAAGTTAAGAGCAAGAGTCCTGGCTTGCCAAGAAACACTAGCAAAGTGAAATACAAGGACTAGGTCCTCTTCTCCCCCAAATCCTTTAGCCTTGAATAAAGTAAGCAGCAGAGAAAGCTCTAGAAGATGTCTTGATTCCACTTCTGCCTTCAGCTGACCTTTGAACCTAGCAACCAGGAGATATCAATTCTGCTTTTCTGTCTAAAGAGATGGAGTTGTAGGAAGTCAGAAACATTCCTCAGCACTTACAGCTAACAGCAGCAAAATTGGTGTGCATTGTCTGAACACAAGTGATATATTTTTTGAAATTACACAAATAGAGCTAAAGAATATTCAAGCACATCATAAGCATTCTTGGTCTACAAGCACAAAACATGGATAATTCAAGCATAAAAAATTACTATAAGAATACCAGAGTGTCTTGCAGAATTAAAGATGAGGAACAAGGATTGGGAAGGGCAGAACAGGGCTGAGATGTGGGGACTCTCAACAGCAGAAGTCTAAGGAGCCCCCTCTGTAGGGGCTGCCTTTTAGGGTTTCCACCTGCTTCCATATCTGCATGATATGGAAGATTTACTTTTGCAGATTCTCCAAAAAGAACAGCTAGCTGTTACCAAGGAGTTTTAATCTGTGCTGCAGTCACCTATAGCAAAGAGAAAGGTAAGTGGAGCTGGAGCCACTCTGTGAGCGGTGACGCCTCCACAGTGTGCAACTAATGCATACACCATTATTCCCTGGTCTAGGAGTCATGGGAGAAGCCATCTATGGGGTACTGGAATCCAATGAACTTAGTCAACCAAATATAGTAGTCATGATGGCCGCCATTTTGAAAACCAGAAATAAAGCAAGTTGTTCTGCTTTGAACTATTTAGTAGAGCCTAATATTAAAACGAGTGCTCCTCCAATGGGTTCTTATGACAGTGTTTACCCCACTATTGTACATCCTATTATAATTACCTGTTTACCTTTGCCCCCACCCCCACCCCACAGACTAGAAGCATCTCAAATATAGGGGCTGTTTCCTGCTCACATTTGCATTTCATCTATTAGGTGATCAATAAACATTTCTTACATGTAGGGAAACCATGCCTGTCAGACTCAGGATGGGCATAACTATTGGTCAGGAAAGGTATATGTTCTTCAGGCAGAGGTTGTGAGTAAAATAACAGTAGATTACTGGGAGATGAGACCCTTGATCCAAGATTCATGCTGTGACTGTGGTTGGAAAGCTAATTAGAAATCAGGCAATACAGTCAGCTTGTGGGAGGCAGACCTCCACAGCACAGGCTGAAGCAAATGAGCCTTTGGAGGTAGTCCTGGTCCCTCCCCATCCTGGCTCCTAAGGTAAAGCCTGGCTGATCTTATTAAATGTTTGGGCTATGTCTCCAAACTGGTTCTGCAACATCATATGCTGGGTCCTCTTCTTCTTCTTCTTCTAAATATTTGTCCTAAAATGGGAGAAGTAAATGTGGAGGTGCTATGTGATTCCCTTGCATTCTCTACCCAAAGAGAGATAATTTAATATTTTATTTTCTGTATAAACCATCCATAAACTGTTCATGTAAAGCCTGATTTCCAGGCAATCTGATTATGTCTTCTACTTCCCAAGGGGGTTTCTTCCACTCTACTGGTGAGAAGCTTTCCTCTTGTTAATCAAGGATCATGTTAATCATACCCCACCCCCACAGATGGAATTGAATAGTAGCAAAACCATCTCTAGTCTGGCTACCACTGAGGCCCACTAGAGACCACGGCTTCTTTGAAGAATGTTGCCAATATAGCTGACACTTCCCCAAATACTAACAAATCTCCAGGTCATCAGTGATCATTCTCAGAGTTAACAGATCATGTATCCTTGTGGATCACACATCTACTCAGAAATTTTTTGAGATAAAAGAACATGGATTATAACACTGCGAGCTCTTTATGCAACTGCTTAACAACTCTGTTCATGCTAATTAATTGCCAGATCTTTGTAATATGATCAAAACCAAAGTCCCCTAGTGGCCAGGATGAAGGTCCACAGCTGATGCAGAAAACAGAGAGCCCAGAAGAAATTTCATCTGTCCTGGCAAGGAAACACAAAGAGAGAATCTGGGTCAAAAAGTAGACAGCTTCTACAGTAACATTTGCATCAAAGAAAAGGCTGAGAATATTATTAACTATAGAATAAATACATAAAATGTAACAATATTTGAAACCAAACAGCAACTCTGTCCTTTAAAAAAAGCATTATATTGCTTTCTTGGGAAGCATATATCTAAAATTACAATAATTCAGATTGCTTTCACTCAGAAACATTTTGTTAAAAGATTGCCTTACATCATATTTGAAAAACATAAGCAGACTTTTACCAAATATAGAAACAAAGATCATAAACTGAAAATAGAAGCCAGAAGACAGACTCAGTGGAAACTACAGAAATATTAACATTGTATTAGATTTGGCAGTGAAGAAATAGAAATATATCGTGATTTACTACCTTTACAAAAGAATAAAAAAATTAGGTGAAAAAAATATTCAGACTATCAGAAATAGCAAGACACTTTTTGGCAATACGTAAGGAAGAAGATTTATTTAACTTTGGAGAGGGTTGGCAGAAAGGGACTAAAATGAGAGACAATAATACCACATATTAACTTTGTTCTTAAACATCTACATTTAATGTATCAACTTTGGCTGTTGTTATATGCCTTGGCAATTCAATAAAGTTACTGGAATGGAAAATTGAAAATTTTTATTGTGATATTTCCAATTTCTCCACTAGTGGAATAGTTTAATAATAAGCCATTGCATATGCTTTCAGCATTCTCATTAAAATGAGTGAGCTACAATTTTTCTTTCTATTCCTAGTTATCAGCAACCTTATTTACCAGTGCATATTAGGTAGGACACAAAGCTCAGCTAACCATTTGTGGTTATAGTTTCTGAACAAGCAAGTATTACCTATTGCAAAGGCATAAGGTTTAAAGCTGAAAGGAATCCTAAGTGGTTTCATATTCCATATTTCCTAGTATCATTGAAGAAACTGAGGCTCAGAATGATTAAGTAACTTGTCCCAAGTCAACAGCTAGTCAATAGCTGAGCAGATGTCATCCTTCTAAAATGTTGTATTACAGTAGACTACCCTAGAATCCAAATTATTTCAGGAGTAGCCATTGAACATAGGCCTACAAATTCTTGTCTGGCAAAAAAAGAGAAAAAAAGAAACAGCCAAGGAGGATACTTAATTTATTAAAAGTCTACTTCAGCCTCTACCTTTACTTGGAATGGTTATTTTTCTTTTAGCTTTTATGAATCTGCCCCCAGTTTTTACATGGTTTAATGTTTTATAAAATGTCTCTCTGCTTTCACACATCAGAGTCGTGCAGAATACTGATGACTCCCTAATTTGTAAGGTGATCTCTTCATAAAGCCGTGTTAATTCCTTTGTTGGTCTTTGCAGAGTAAATCTACTTATAATCTGGTACCTGCAATTAAGTTGCTCATATAACAATTTATTTCCCTTTTAAGCAACAATCTGGGCACGTTTCTTTGGCTCAAGCACTACATAAACATTTATATTAACTATTAACCCTCTTGAGGCAATGGACTTGATGGAAACAGGAGCAGAGTGGAGCTGAAAGAACCAGGGGTGGATCCAATTCTCAGTCTGGTTGCCAATAAGCCATGTGGCCTTGAACAAATCATTTATCTTCCCTGAACCTTTCTCCGTGTGTAAAATGTAGGAGGTCATTTTTATGACCCTAAGATCTAAAACCCTGCATTTCCAAACTGATCGTTTTTAAGCCACCCTTAACAATAATTATTATGTTTACACCCTAAGCTTCCATCCTGTTTACTTCCATGCACCTGATACATATTTCAGTCCTACCATTGAGAAAAGTAAATAAACTGCAATAAAATGTGACGTCTCCCCTACTATGCTGTGAACTCCATAAAAGGTTAATTCATTTTTATAGGCTTAGTGCCTGGCAGACTTGACATTCTATGAATGTTTGATATACGGATGGATGGATGGATGGATGGATGGATGATTGCCACAGCATAGCAGTAAGGAGAACTTAAGTATAAGTTTACATTGCCTCTGTAAATAGCCTAAAGATCATTGTCCTGAACCTCATCAGACACTTATATGTAAGTTTACTTTTTTACAGCATAATGCTCATAGTACATCTCTTATACATGATCTTTTCTTGCCTAATCTTAGCCTGTTAACTTCCCTTCTTGATGATAAGCTTGTTGAGAGCAAGAGATGTGTCTCATTCGTCCCATTCTGTACCTATTCATTGCACTTACGTATAAGACTTTCATCAATTTAGCTAGTTAAATGAATTTTAAAATGAGTTTCAGTAGAATAGTAGCCAAATAAAATAAATGATACATTTTGTATCAAAGTATAAATCTTTTTGGGGGTGGGGGCAGAGGTTTGGAGTGAATTATCTGGGATGATAAAATTGTGACTTTTTTGTCCTTTTACCTTTCATTAATCTCAAAATTTCACCCCCTATAAAAATCATTCATTCTTAGTGACTTTATTTTGCTTCATATGTGGTCAGCTCGTAATTAACATAATATAATTAGGTCTAATGTAATCTAGGAAGATCTCACAGGAGAGGAAGCATGAAGAACCCTTTATTGAGCTGCAATTCAAAAAAAAAAAAAAAGTCATGGTAGAGAGGTATTTGCATGGTTTCAGTTTATATGAAATCCAGTGGCATTGCAAAAGTATTCCCCTGACCTTGCATGCAAATCATCTCCACGTTGCTTCAATAGATTCTTTGTCAAATGTTAAGAGTCCACACTCCAGAATGATACAGAATAGCAACAGCATATTGACTCTTGGTGGGATGTCCTACCCTCTTTTGACTTATTATCATGTGGATTACAGGATGTTTACTTTAGTAAGATGTTCTGTTCTCAGACGGATGCCCATTTCTCTGGTCAAAGGAGGATTTCCAGGCAAGCAGTTCTCCTTTTCAGGCAACATAAGTTCGCTGATTGCTATCTCATCACTTTCAGATTCACAATGTCATTCTGGCGTAAACAATGTATATGAACACATACATAAAGTTAATATTTTCTAACTCAGTTTTTTAATAGTCATCACAATCCTAATTATGCTATTAATCCATTATAATTATACTCATTATTACAAATATGATTTGTTCATGGGGATCTTCATTATTATAAGCAGTACATTACTGTTATAAATGTTATCAATAAACCATAACTGTTAGAAACACTTTTAATGTATTTACTCTTTGTTTTATCAGGTCCCACATAATCCACATGGGCATATTTATGTCTATATTAACTTCAAAGGAACCAGATAATCTCTTACTCCCAAAAAATTACTGTCATGTTAATAAAAATAATAGCTGAGGCTTATGGAGCACCTGCCATGTGCTGACACTACGTGTGTTAACACAGATAATTTCATTAATGTTCCAGGATCCTATGAGGTAGAAGCTTATATTAGCCCCATTTTACAGATAAGAAAACTAAGGCTTATACAGGTTAAATAACCACTCAAATGTTAAGAGCTAATAAGTGATGGAGATAGAACTGGAACCCAATTTCACTTCAGATTACTGTTTGGGATAGCAGATGAACCTGCTCATCTATTTGTGTAATTATTTCTTTAACTTTAAGTTTGCATGTCACTTTTAAATTCTGTCTTAAAACCAGAAGTATATACAGAGTGCAAGTTGAAATGTTTGCAATAGGAATTACAGGCTATCAAAAATATAATGAATATTATTACTGCAAAATTAGCAAATATAATAAATCAAAGTAGGAGAACAATGCAAGTATTATATAATTATCAGCATAGTTTTCTGTGAATGTGCTGTTGACTGATTAATTTTACAATTAGTAAACTTATTAACTGTGTACCTTAGCAGTTTTTTTTTCTTTTCAGTGTGTAAGGTTTAAAGTTCAATTTCTTTCCACAAAGATTAAAGATTTTCCAGCTGCCAAAAGATAATAAGGCAAAAATGATTAAAAGTAAATTTAACCACAAAGGTTTTGATAGCACCACATTCCATCCCATCCATTTATGAATTGATTTTTGTAAAAAAGCAAATATGTAAAATCTGATATTCATCGTTCCCTTTATTATTTTCCATTTGCTGTAGTCCAATTAGTATCACATTCATAAGGATCATGTGCATAAAATAGATATGAAACCACATTCCCTCTGAAAGTTTAAAAGCATTTTAGAAAATATGCCTAACACATTATCTTAATGAAGACAGCATACAAATCAGAAATGTTTCCTGGCTTTATAACCTAAAGCCAAAACAATATGAAACTTAAGAGCTTTCAAAACTATAAAATCTAAAAAGTTTAAATATTTATACTGGGAAGCCAATAAGTACTTTGAGAATATGAGAATTCACCCAGATAGCCTTTAGAACAAAACAACACATTGTGATCCATTTCAAAACTGCTGCTGTATTTACAAATCAAAAGCTTACTGAGGGTTGTCATATTCAAGACCTTATAAAGCATACTCCATGGAAAGCGCCCTCAAAGAGCGATCTTTTGGACTCTCAGGTTTATTTTGTCTGTTTTTAATTATGAAAATAAAACAGACACCTGTTTCACAATATTTAAAGAAAGAATTAGTATTTCTTAGCCTATTTTTTTATTACACAAAAGTCCAGGTGGACATATCAGAACCAAGAACTCAATTTTTCATCTAGAATTCCTTATACTCAGATCTTCTGAGGCCTATGGGAATACTACATTTTTATCTGCAAAACCATCTACTAAAATGTCCTTTCAATTAAAATAGAAATGATACTTAGCAAAAAGGGTGATTACATGAGTACACTTTTAAGAGGCATATTGCTTTTAAAAAGAAACTGAAAATGGGGAGCAAGGATCACACAGTGACTGGTATGAGCTTAGGGTCCGTTAGAGCCAGACTCCAATCCTGGTTTTGCCACTGACCAGATACACCGCCTTGACTAAGTCATTCGACTTGATTAAACCTCAGTTTTCCTCATCCAGAAACTAGACATAATTATGCTAATTCCCTAATAACACTGCTGTGAAGGTCAGGTAATATAAGCAAGCATTTAGCAGACTCTTGGAAACAAAGCACATATTCAATAAATGGCAAGTTAGCCTCACAGTTAGAAAAGAGGTAAACAACAGGTAAAAGTAAGATGTCATTTGTCACGGATGCTGCAACAACGCAAAAAAAATAAATAAATAACAGAAAGCAATTAGACGGCCGTTTCTACTTCTCTGGTGTGTTAGTGTAAAACAACGAAGCTTGGGCTGGACTAAAGAAGGAAATGCAAGTATCTTTCTTCACCACAAGCCATGCAGTTAGGAGATGGGCAATGAGAACTTGACCTAACGAAGAACCACATGCTCTGAGGAAACTGTGGATAATTAACTTGTTAAATAATTCACTGAAATCAACCACTTGTCATGCTGTCAACCGCTTGGTCACGGCTGAAGAGGCTGTGTAAAACAATGATGCTTACAATTCAAAACTCGTACAAAATTCCTTACTTGAAATGACCTCAAACATCTTATTACAAGATTGAAATTAGGGTTACACCATGGCACACAGGTTTAAAAAGGGGGAAATGACAATATCTTAGTCGTTGCTTTATACCTAAGATTAACTATAAGAATGAAACACATAAAACTCCTCTTGTAAATTAAAAAAAAAAGTTAAATATCAGTAATCTCATATGGCTCAAACTAATTTTCTGGGGTTTTTCATGACACATCATTCTAAGTTCATGTAAGCTTTGCCAGTCTACCATAGCAGGATGTGGACTAGCTTCAACCTTTTCAGAGTCCCTGTAAAAGTGGGAAGGTTAGGCAAAATCGCAAACACAAAACCAATTTTCTACAGGAAGTTAAAGAATATAAGTAAGGTGACATTAGGAAAGTAGAGTCGGCTAGTCACATCTGCATTAAAAATATTTTTTTCATTCAATCCTTGAGTATTCCACCAATTCTCCAGGGGCCAGTAATCCAATTTTTACAATATAAATTGACACAAGTTCCAAGGCCCTCTTTTGAATAATATTGAGCTCTGAGCTAAATCCCTGTTTAAAAAAAAAAATTCAATTTCAGGCACTAATACACACAGCTAGTCCACACTAAGATCAGATGCCTCACTCACACAGGTGCACTCACTTCCAGGCACACTTGCAGGTCGGTATGACCATGTGGGTAGTTCTGGCCAATGAAGTGTGAAAGAGACAATGAGTATCTTCTCAGTGCTAGAAGAAAGCAAAGGCCCATACGGTTTTCCTTACTACACCGCAATAATCAAGGAGGTCTTGAATTGAGATTACAGAGGCGCAAGATCAAAAGAGCTTGGATTGCCAATGCACCTCAGACAGGATAACTGCCACAAAGAGTCAGACAAACCCAGTGGGTCCTTGTTTGAGCAAGAAATAAACTTTTATTGTGTTAAGACATTGAGAGCTTGGGGTCGTTTGTTACCACAGAATAGCCTAATGTAACCTAACTGGCAGAAACAATTTTGGAACTATCTGTACCCTGCCAGAGCAAGTGGGCTCACCCCTGCAGAGCCATCACACATCACAGCTGGATCTGGTAACAGACCAGACCTCCCCTGCACCCCATCACAGTTGTACATCTCAGCTAGGCCCTCCCAAGCCCCACACTGCAGCCCCAGGCGACAGCCCCACCTAGCCCTCCTGCTGCTCCACAGCAGACCATTGGGCACAGTGGACACAGAAGACAACATCTGAGTGCCCAGCTCTGATGATCAGAAGGGATTGCACTCCTGGGCTCCATGCAGTATCTCCTACACAAGGCTACTCCTCTAAGACTCACAGAAGTGGCGTGCGCGTGGGTGGCTCAGTCGGTTAACCGTCCGACTTCGGCTCAGGTCATGATCTCACGATCCGTGAGTTCGAGTCCTGCATCAGGCTCTGTGCTGCCCACTCAGAGCCTGAAGCCTGCTTCAGATTCTGTGTCTCCCTCTCTCTGCCCCTCCCCTGTTCACACTCTATATCTCTCTCTCAAATAAATAAACATTAAAAGTTAAGAAAAAAAAGACTCACAGAAGTGGCTCATTTCTAATACATAGAAACAAACACAGAATCAGGCAAAATGAGGAAACAGAGGAACATGTTCCAAACACAAGAACAAGACATAAAAAAAAAAAAAGACATTAATGAAATGGAGATAAACAATCATAATTCAAATAATGGTCATAAAGATGTTCGTCAAACTCAGGCAAATGGATGTACACAGTGAGAGCCTCGACAAAGACAGAAAATATTAAAAAGTTCCAAACTGAAGTTAGAAGCTGAAGAGTACAATAACTGAACTGAAAAACATACTAGAGGTTTTCACAGCAGACTGGATGAAACTGAAAAGCATATTAGTGAGCTGGAAGACAGCACAACAGAACTCACCCAGACAGAACAGCAAAAAGAAAAAAAAATTTCAAGGGGCTCCCTTAAGAGACCTTTGGAAAAACATCAAACAGAATAACGTTTGCATTTAGGGGCCCTCGATAGGGATAGGGAGAAAGGGCCAGAAAATTTATTTGAAGACACAACGGCTAAAATCTTCACTAATCTGAAGAAAAAACACACCTAGGTCTAAGAAACCCAGAGAGTTACAAAAAAGATGAGCCCACAGAGATCTACAACAAGACACATTATAATTAAAATGGTAAAAATTATAGATAAAGAGAGAATCTTAAAAGCAGCAAGAAAAAAACAATTTATTACATGCAAGAAAAACTGATAAAATGATCAGCAGACTTTTCAGCAGAGCCTTTGCAGGCTAGAAGACAGTGGCCTGACATATTCAAAGTGCTGAAGGGAAGAAAAGTCCAACCAAGAATTCCCTATGTGACTGCAGAAAAATGAACCTGGACCACTTTCTTACACCATACACAAAAATAAACTCAAAATGGATGAAAGACCTAAACAGACAGGAAGCCATCAAAATCCTACAGGAAAAAATAGGCAACAACCTCTTTGACCTCAGCTGCAGCAACTTCTTACTTGACATGTCTCTGGAGGCAAGGGAAACAAAAGCAAAAATGAACTCTTGGTACCCCATCAAAATAGAAAGCTTCTGCACAGTGAAGGAAACAATCAGCAAAACTAAAAGGCAACCAATGGAATGGGAGAAGATATTTGCAAATGACATGTTAGATAAAGGGTTGATATCCAAAATCTATAAAGAACTTAACAAACTCAACACCCAAAAAACAATAATTTATGAGGAAATGGGCAAAAGACATGAATAGACACTTCTCCAAAGAAGACATCCAGATGGCCAACCGACACATGAAAAAATGCTTAACATCACTCATCATCAAGGAAATACAAATTAAAACCACAATGAGATACCACCTCACACCAGTCAGAATGGCTGAAATTAACAACTCAGCCAACAATAGATGTTGGTGAGGATGTGGAGAAAGAGGATCTCTTTTGCACTGCTGGTGGGAATGCAACTGGTACAGCCACTCTGGAAAACAGTATGGAGGTTTCTCAAAAAATTAAAAATAGAACTACCCTACAACCCAGCAATTACATTAGGTATTTATCCAAGGGATACAAGTGTGCTGTTTTGAAGGGACACATGCACCCCAATGTTTACAGCAGCACTATCAACAATAGCCAAAGTATGGAAAGAGCCCAAATGTCCATCGATGGATGAATGGATAAAGAAGATGTGGTATATATATACAGTGGAGTATTACTCAGCAATAAAAAAAAAAAATGAAATCTTGCCATTTGCAACAACTTGGATGGAACTAGAGGGTATTATGCTAAGCGAAATTAGTCAGAGAAAGACAAATATAATATGACTTCACTCATATGAGGGCTTTTAAGGTAGAAAACAGATGAACAGAAGGGAAGGGAAGCAAAAATAATACAAAAACAAAGAGGGCGACAACACATAAGAGACTCTTAAATACAGAGAACAAACTGAGGGTTGC